CAGCCGCTCACTGCGGCTGCTGGCCGCTCACGCTGGCTGCTGGCTACATACGGTAGCCCATGGCAACCCACTGCCACAGGGGCTGCAGCCTACGCCGTCACCGGCGACTCACAGCAGCCCAGCTCCAGGTTGAGCTGTTGTTCAGCATCTTAGCTGTGGAGGGTAGTGTCACTGGCCCTCAGATGTGGGATCCGAACCGGGGCCCTCTGGTGTCCCAAGCCAGTTCTTAACCATCGCGCCACTTGGCCGGCCCTGTATCTTACACTTTTCAAAGCTTCAATGCTTTCACTTAAATTATCTCAACTGACTTCACAGCAATAACATGAAATAGGCAACGTAGGTACTGTTCTCATTTTACAGATGGGGAAACAGCCGCAAAGAGATTAGACGGTTTAGCCAAGGTTGCAGGGGCGAAGCTCTCATTTTTTCCGTTATCTGGGCTTAGAACACTGGAACCCACTTGGCCTATCTCTATCTATTCCTGTATCCAAAAAAGCACTAATTCCTATAGGTTGTTTCTACAAAGTGTCTGTTTCTTCCTTTCCCCTTCCTTTCCCACCATCTAGATTTGGATCCTTCTCCATCCCTTGCCTGAATTACAACTGGTGAGCTGGATGTCCACATTGCCACTTTTTCCCCATTCCCATCCATCCTGCATTCTCCTTCTAGACTAAACTTCCTTAAACACTGCTTTTCTTTTCCTGCTCAAAAATCTTTGTGGTCTTCTCTTTCCTTCTACAATGAATGGAAACTACTCAGCCAGGATTTCAAAGCTCTGAACTCACCTTTTCAGCTACTCATAGGTGCTTTGAAAATAAAAAATGGCTACCAAATACATGTGAGAATGTCCAAAGAAACATCAATTACAATAACAATGACTTTCATCTATCAAACAAAGCTTTATGTTTTATATTTTTTAGGTGATACTACTCAGTACTGGCAGGAGAGTGATAAAAAAGTTTCTTGTCCTCTGCTGTTTGTGTTTGTTTGTTTGTTTTTTAAAGATTTTATTGGGTAACTGGGGGAGGGGAACAGCGTGGGGAATCGGGGGAAGGGAAACAGACAAGTTGCTGTCGTTTTGTTCTTCAATCTAGTTGTGGAGGATGTTGTTACTTCACTGGCCCATGTTGGTATTGTGATCATTGCGCTCTTCCCGTGTGAGGCAGATCGGTTGCCGGTCTCTGGACCGCCACTCACCGCGGCTCTTGGCAGCTCACACCAGGTGTCCGTCGCTCACGCTGGCTGCTGGCTACATACGGTAGCTTATGGCAGCCCACTGCAGCAGGGGCTGCAGCCTACGCCGTCGCTGGTGACTCACAGCAGCCCAGCTCCAGGTTGAGCTGTTGTTCACCATCATAGCTGTAGAGGGCAGTGTCACTGGCCCCCATGTGGGATCCGAACCAGGGCCCTGCTGCTCAGAGCCAACGAGCCACTCAGCTGGCCCTCCTCTGCTGTTTTAAGTGCTAATTGGTATGATCGTTTTGGAAAGCAGTTTGGTTATATGAATCAAGAGGTTTTGACCTAATAAATCTGTTTCTGGAAATCTATGCTAAGGAAATAACCTGAAATATGAAAAACCTCTATGACTGAAGATGTTAGTTGCATGATTAGTTATAGTTATGAGCAATTAGATATAACCTAGTGCCAATCAATAGGGTATATGCACATAATAAATGATTATATTAAAAGTACATAAGAATATGGGGGAATACTTATGATATTGGGGCAGGGAGGTCAATATTTAAAGTTGTATAATCATTAGGTGAAATCTTACAACTTTTCACTACTGAATTTGTTTGCTTTCTCTCCCAGCACACTATTTCATACCTTTTTCTCTCTCTTCAAATCTCCAAAATTCCCTCCTCTTCCTGAATTTAAACAGATGAGTACCTCTTGTTTATTGGGAAAATGTTATCACCAAATTGTCCAATTTACTTGTTCCTGTATACTCTACCATCCCTCCTGCTAAAATGAATTAACTATCCCTACTCCTATCCAAGGTCAGTCTGGCCACTGAATTCTATCCCCTCTCACTTCTCCTGGCGTTATTCATCTGTCTCCTGCACCATCAGGTAATCTCTCCCTTTCTTCCTATTAGTACATAAGCATGCTATAAAATTTCACATTTCAGCAAAGAATTCATTGCTTGGCCTCATGTTCTCCAGCTCCCTCCTTCAAAGTAATGGGCTCACCATCTCTACTTCATCATCTCCTATTCTCTAAGTGACATTAATCATGCTTTTGCTCCCTCACTGCACCGAAATGGCTCATTGTCGAATCTGATGGTCAGCTATCTCCCTTCCTCTTAGTCTCTCAGCTGTATTGCACAGAGCTGACCCCTCTTCCCTTGGGTTCTGAGAATCCTGCTCTCCTGTTTTCTTGCCGCCTCAGGGACTACTCCTTCCTAGTCTCTTGCTGCTTCCTCTTCCTCTCCCTCTAAGTTCCAGTGCTCAGCCTTCAGACTTGCTCTCTCCTGTACCTGGACTCACGTCCGATGAGGTTTGTTTCCATTCGTGGGGCTTTCCATGCCTCTTGTGTGTTGATGCCACATACTGTCTCTAATTCCAGTCTCCCCCAAGCTCCCAACGGACACTCCTTCTGGTGTGTACCACTCACCTCAAACTGTGTGCAAAACACAACTCTTGATTTTTTTCCTTCGAACCTGCTCTCGCACAGGAGAGGTACCATTTTTCTCCCAGCTGTTCAAATCATTAACTTTTATTACTCCTTTTCATGTACCACATGCCAACCCATAAGCAAGCTGATTGGTTCTGCCTTCAAAAATATCACCAAAGCCAGCAATTCTTACAATCACTCTAGGATAAAGCCACATATCTCTCACTGGACAACTTCAATAGCTAGCTAACTGCTCTCCTTGTTCCCCGCTTGTCCCCACAGTCTTGTAACCCTCCAATGGCTTTCCTCTGTACTTACAATAAAACCGTAAATCTTTACATGGCCTGTGGGCCCTGCCTCGTCTCATCTCCCTGTGCTCTTAGTCACCATGGCCTTGTCACTACTCCATAAGCTCACTCTTGCCCCGGGGACATTCTGTTTGTGACTCCCTAGGCCTAAAACAGTCCTTTCCACATCTTCCTATGGCTCACTCTTCCATAGTTCAGGGCTCTGCTCAGATGTCATCTCCTCAGAGAGCCTTCCCGAAACAGCCTATCTAAAATGGCTTCCTTGGGCCAGCCAAGTGGCGCGTTGGTTGGGAGCTGGCTTGGGATGCCAGAGGACCCCGGTTTGGATCCCACATATGAGGGCCAGTGACACTGCCCTCCACAGCTAAGATGCTGAACAACAGCTCAACCTGGAGCTGGGCTG